TATTCCTCGTGATCTCAGTGAAGATCCTGTTGCTCGTGCTTATCGTGCTCGTGTTTTCGGTATTTTTATTGGTGTTTTTGCTGCTGTTACTTTTGGTTTTGCTATTATTTATTTATGTTACTCTTACTGGAAAAACAGACAGGTATGCTGTGCTAATAGTGTTTCGATGATAATTGATCGAGAAAATATCACTAAAATTTATTCAATCATTCATACATTCTTCTTTGAGTTTATTATTTCGAGTACTTTATGGTGCAGAGCTATGTCACTGTTGTTTCTTTATAGGAAATACGACGCAAACACACATCCACGTCAAAGGGCGAACATTCTGAGCATGTATTAATACCACATTAAACATTATCGACAAGTTTTTTTCCTCTATTATTTTCAACCATTTTTTCCCTTCCTTTTTTATGTATTTTTCACAAATTTCAATTCTAATAAAATGTGTATGTACACCGAAAACATAATCTTGTTGGATTCTTCAGAACAAAATCAAATATCTGTATCATTGACAGAAAAATGAGTCCAGCTCACTATAGCACAATAGAGATTTTTGTCGGAAGGTTTTTTAATGAATCATTTGGTATCAAGGATAGCAACAAATGAAAAGTGACAAGAGAACATTAACAAAGTCAAATGAATGTAGTCCTTGATGACATACTTTGAAAAGGTATCCTGCATGTTTTCGGTCTTTTTTTTTAAACCAGTTTTGCCATGCATGATAAAATAGAAGCTCGAATTCTTTTTCTCCAGTTGCTTCAATTGGAAACGTAAAACAGAAAGAATGCACGTCGCATCTTCGCTTTTTGATAGGGAAAATTTAATTAACAAATGAGCAAAAAAGAAAGAGTGCCATAATTTCATTCCTTCGTTATTTAACGACACTAAGCCTACTCTTCTTCAACGAATAATTCCTCATATCCCCAAACTATATTTATACGATCATGACGACTCATTATTTTGTGAAAATCAACTACTGTCCACACAAATTTATCTTATTCTTCTTGATATTCCGGTTTTGATTCTTGGCTAATTAAGCTTAAATATTTGCAAACCAGAATAGGGGAGGGGGAGAGACAAAAGTAATCGCATTGTAATATGGTACAAACATTTTATTAAATTATTTTTAAAAAATGTAAAAGATACACGACAATTCTGTCTCCGTTGTATATCTTTTAATGGAGTCAGTATCTTTTTGGCGATGACTTACGCCAGCTTTTCACTTACGTTCATTTTATCCATGTTGACTTCAAATTCTGGCAACACCGAAACATGAACCATACAGATTTCGAAGAAATTAAAATGGAACACTTCCGAATGGATATATTTATGAATGCCTATCTTGTTATTATCATAATCAACGTTTTTTATTTGGAGCTGAGGCTTTGAAGGCCTCCTCATCTCATTGAATTATGGCGAGAAAAGAAGGACGTAGGAAGTTTATGTGGTTTATATACCTTTTTGTACCTGATGTTTAGCATCTTTACTCGTGTCACTCCGTCAATTTCTTCACTAACGCCAAGTCAAGAAAATTTGACAATTATTTTTCTTCTTATTTTGATAGAATATCTGCAGGGTGAACATGTACCAGACAAATCGCCGAAATCATATATTTATTTTCAATTAGCTGCGACGTGATGCTTATTTCAATTGGTCATTGGTCGCATTATCATTTGTTGGCTCAACATTCGAGATTCTGAGACTAAACATAAAAAACTCTATCAACTTTAATTATGGAAGAAAAAAGGATTCATACTCTCTATCAGAAAACAAAGTGACGCCAATGTCCTTTCAGTCGGTGACTACACACCACAAAAATAGTGAAGTTTGACAAATTGTTGCTTCCACCGTTGATAATATAAAGTAGTCTATTTTTGCATGTATAACTATTTATGTGTAACTATTCCATTGTAATATTCTCTCGAAGTATGTTGCTCTAACAGTTGCAGAATGCCTATCAAACAGAATTCAGTTTTTGGCTTTTTTAATTCACAATGAAATTCTACGATTGCAAAACTAAAGTTTATAGGGTATGACGATCAAAGGATACCACTCTCTTGCTCTGATGCGTTTATATTCTGGATAGAATTCTGTATATTTCAATGTTCTCAAAGATTATAACATTCTTTTAAACCCGCAATCTTTATTTAAACATATATGTGGATTTAGAAATTTTGTGTTGGTTTCTGTTCGATAGTAGTGAAATAATCTTTGAAAGACGCAAAAAATTAGTTTGGACGGAAAGTTTTTCGACACATTTTTCTATTTTTGATGTTGTGATCCGAAACTAAAAGTAGGAACCTTTATTATTATACCAGCTCGTAGAGCAAAATCTATCCTACAAGTTGTGCTATTTGAGATTTTTGTCTTTGGATAAGGCTTCTGAATTTTCGTTTTTCCTAAATCGTGATTATTGAAAAATCATTTTTTTTTTGACCAAAAGCGTTTTGCTTGGAAAGGAGCTCTTGGAAAAACGTGTATAGCTTCCCTTGAGTGAAAGCTACAGATTGTTTGCTCTACAACACTACCGAGTCCGAAGATTTTTAGCATTTTCCCAAGAGGACTTGTATGAGTTAGCAAAACCTATTTGTTCGCAGTTCAAAGTAATTGTTTAAATCTTTCAAGGATTATTTCACTACTCTCGAACAGAAACCGACATAAAATTTTTACGTTCATATTCAGAAAGAGAACAAAATTCTTGTTCTAATGCATAGATTTTTACTCGCCGGAAATACTTTCAGACAGGTCAAAAATGAACAAATATTTTGGCAAAATACTTTTTTGACCACTCGTTAGATAGAACAGAATAAGAGAAAAAAAGGACGTAACGATCACTGCTTTCCTTTCTTTTCCATAAACCATGGTGTAAAAAATGATGAAACAATAAGCTGTTGACAAACAAGAAATTTTCGAAGAGATGATCAGAAAAATAGAAATATGTCGTCAATAATAAAAAATAGTTCAAGATCAAAACGGAATATAGGCGTCAAACGCTGTGTCATTAAACAAAGAATAATCTTGAGTAGTTTCAAGAATTCGGATGTATCACCATGAAAACATTTATAATTTAGATATAGACAAAAGTGGCTTCATTTACAATCAATCATAGAAATATTAACTATTATCGACGTGATTCATATAATGATTTCCACTCTAACTATCTATGTAATGACTTAATTAAAGAGTCTCATATTACTATTCAACGTGTTTCAAGAACCAATTCATTTTGTATAGAAACTTATCAGATATGACAAAACATTTTAGAGCAGTTTCACAGAAATGTTGAAATGACATCGTATAGGGTTGAAAAATTCTGAAAATGTGATATTTTCTTCTTCTTTTAAAACTAATTTTTTCGAATAGAATTCTCATAGCCAATCAATACGGCATGTTTTATTTAATGTCGATAAAACTTATTGAATATTCAGTTATTTTAACACATTTGAAAAAAACGAATATAAAGTCATCTTCTTAAGATAAAAAGAAAACAATCTGTTCGATGTTATCAATTCTAGTTCGACAAACAAACTACTATCTATAGGAAAAAGCAGTCATTGCAGTCCCATGAGAGATTAAAGTGTGAAACTCATAAACTATGACTGTTACAAATTTATTGCATGTTGTCAGAGTGTTTAAAATAATTTATTTAAAAATAGATACCTAAACTGAAAAATCTTCCATAAACTCTAGATGATTTCTGTGATAATCGATCACCAAAGTAAAGATCTACCTTTTTTTTAATATCTGCATTTTGAACAGAATTTTTTCTAATTTAACATTATTATATATTCTAAGCATTGGTTTAACTAGCAAATAAGCCAGTTGTACCTATCCATTATATCTAATAGCATATCTCAGCACACAATTATAAAATGCATTAAGGGGTGTTAGAAAACACAATATCAATATTCAGACCTCACTCACATTCGCACCCTCAAGTCGAGACACATTTTCAATGGCAATATTGACTAGGTGTGATATGAGGCACTAATATCCCGAACGGAAATATTGTGGTTGCATTAACCGAAATTTCAGTAGTGAATTTAAAGATAAAGATTACCAGTAAGTTTTCATCTATTTTATTAACTGATATACATGTTTTTACTTAATATCATGAGCGCTTTTGAAAGTTTTTGTGGCTAACAAACAAACATCTGGTATGAACGTTTAATGTCAACTTACTTCATCTGCTACATGGAGAACTTTGATGACAGTTCATTTGTAACTATTAATAGTTTTTCAGTCTTTCTATCAGTCATTTGAGTATGATCATCTTCTATTTTATTAAAAAACTGCGAAAAATACTAAATCATCTGGACACACTTCAATCGATCGACAGAGAGCATTAATTTCTTCTTGGTGAGAAGGAGAGACAATGTCTGCTCATCAATTTCACACATCGCATACCATGAAAGATCTGATTTCGAAAGATATTGAAAAATAAACTATATAACAAATAAAAAGTTGTTGCAAGTCTTGAAATTTTAGTACATTATTGTGAAAAAATAACACATTAAGATAAAATATTAAGTAGTTATCAACTGGCACTCAATGACTATCAGAATGAATACAAACCTGATCTAAATTCGATTAGCATCTTTATTGACAAGATTTATTTCGAATAAAAAAAAAATGAAGTACATTTAGCAAGTCTTTATCAAAAACATGTGATCCGATATCAGATAAAAATATAATGAGCAATGTCACATTTAGAAGTGTGTGGAGTGCGGCTGAAATAAAAAAAATCTAATTTTTTATGCTTTTCGTCATGATACAACACGACGTGTGGCAAATAAAATGTACTGACACTCTAGCTAATAGAGAGCACTTTTCAAAGGATGAGAAACTTCGACGTATCGTTTTAAAAATGCACAGAGCTTTTAATTGTGATTAGATGCTATTAGAAAAACTAGAAGTATAAAGCATGCATAAAAAAAGAATAAAGCTTAGATATTGTTTATTTTGTCTCTGCAAACTGTGAAATGATTCATCAGCAATCAAAATGGTGTTTTGACCAATCTAATATAAATATCTTCATCCCGATCTTGTTGTAAGAAACCATTAAGTTTGTAATTAATATAACCATTTCTACGTGCATTAGCTAAGATTTCAACTAATCTTTCGATTTGATCAGCTTCATACATCTAGAAATAAAAGTAAATACATCTGTCAATATCGAGGCTTATGTGTAACATGTATTTCGAAATATTTTTACATGTCAAAGAACTACATCATACAATGGTCTAGAGTGAAGTTGACATTCCTGACTTGCTGCGTGACAGATCCAGTTCAGCTCCAAACATCTCATAGCTTAGTAACAATTCGTCAGTCATTAAAAATATAAATAGATCTGTTCTGCTCTCTTAGCTATTATTCTATGCACTTACCGGTATTAATTCACCAAACTTCATTTCCATTCCAAAATCACCTTGTTGTCCATTTTCTTTAATCAGTCGATGGACATGTTGTATTTCCTTCAGTATATTATATTCAAGATCTGGTTGACTAGAAATAAAAGAAACACAAATTGATTATAGACGAAGTCGACAAAAGTGAATTTGTGATATCTACCTATGTACAGAATCTTTTGGTAGTGGTGGCGGTGGTACTATTGGCGGTTTTGGTTTATTTACTTTTTCTAGAAATTCATTTTGACATTCAGCTAAGCGAGTGTTTGGTTTCTCGTACATTTGTTTGCTGTATTTCATTGTATTGTCTTTATAAGAAGAAGCCATGTTATCGTAGTGTGTAATAAAATAAACTTTTGTCTTGTGTCACGTTACTTATAGATGATATGTATGGCACGGGAAGATGAAAGAACGAAAATATCTATGTGCAGATGTATAGTTGTTGTTGTTTTTGTTCTTCTTACTTAAAGAGATATTTATGGCTTATGATAGAAAGAAAAAAAGGAAACATGTTGACGACTACTAGTAGTTCTTTCTTTCCTTTTCTAGAAGCACATAGTCATAATAAGCTGTCATTTTTTCTGTCTTCCTGTTCTGTTCTTGGATAATTATGGGAAGTAGATATCATTCGTTTAGATGTGGAAGAATTATAACAAAAACATTTCCTACCCATGTCAAATATTTTTTTTAACTGAAAACACATATGGACGCGTTTCAAATGAAATTTAAAAAAATTGAAGGGACCCTTCTCCCTATAGAATATATATTTTTTAACCATTTTGTCGAGCGGATAAAACTGCGTATATGCCCATATTTTTATGGCTTTTACAAGGCGCGTATGCTTTTAGAGAACTTTTGGTATGAAATTTGGAAAAATTTGCGAACTAAAAGCCTCTGGCGTCAGTCTCATACAAATCTATAGAGTAACAAAAGTTCCATGTATATTCTGAATTTTTTTGATGCTTCAATGAATATTCTCAAAGACACAATAATTTTCGTATAAGGTGTGGATTTCGATGTATGAATGGTGGGAAAGCGAAGATTTTCTTCCATACTCACATCCCTACGGTGGCCATTTAATTTCATGTATTTTAGAGGGAATCTTTCGTCTTTCAATTAAATAGTGAGAGAAAATGGAGGATATTTCGCTGTACTTATTAATAACAAAAAGGTGTGAACGTAGATGATGAGTTGCAGATTAATACCGATATTTATCTTTTATAGAACTTCTTCAATCCTGTTTGAACTGATACATCAAAATTATTTCTAATTTCAATTTCCCAACGTGACTTGTATCATTACCACAAGTTTGGACTGAAATGCAAAGAGGAGGGAATAATAAAGGACAACATATCATCATTGGCTTTTACTTCTTTGCTAATCTACTAATCTTGAAGAAACGAACAGATTTTTTTCTAGTATATGACTATATAAAAAAAGTCGTTTATAGGTATACTAGAATTATAGAACTCGAATTTTACAATTGTTTTTTATTAACGAAGAATGGCTGAACTAGAATCAGATGTGACCGAAACATTGAAACAAATAATGAATACAGTGAGTGTGTCTTTTTGGTTTTATGCAAAATGAGCACAATATTTGAAATCAGCATGAAAAAATACACTGTGACCTTCATTTGTGGTAATTAAATATTTCCTATCACGATTTTGTCCTTTGGAAACACGAGAGAAAAAATACAATAGTGAAAAGTTGAATTTAAAGATATAAACACCTCCAATTACTACCCCGTTTTCTGGTGTTTTTGATAAGCATAATACTCACTAAGTTTTTTCAATTTTAAAAATATTCACCGTCTGGTTTAATCCTTTCATATAGTTACAAAAATCACACCTAAAAATAGTTAGGTGAAAAACAAAAATAACCTGGGCCATGGGATGGAGCGGAGAAGAACAGTCTAAGGAAAAAGCGGTGGCTCCTTTACAATATCAAACAAAGTGTTTTGTGTAAAAATAATCAAAATCGGACACCCTCTATATTATCTTACACAAGAACATTGAACAGAGAAATATTCAGCAATCCATACTTCTGAATATAGTTTTCATGCCGTTCTTTACATTTTTTGTCTAGGACTCCGATGCAGAAGAAAGCAACGATGACACTTTTGATTATCATGATGAATTAATTGATTTTATTTTTTGTAAATAGTTCTTTGGTTTATTACAAAATCCAGATGTTGAATCTGACGCAAACCGGGTGCAAGGATATGGATCATAATATTCAGTCAACCATAAACGCACTCATTGACACTCCACATCCACACACATATCAGAGACAATTTAGTTCAGGAAAAAAACAAAACCAGTACCTTAAATCTACGCTCTTTTTTTTTTTGGTTTTTCTAGTTTCCCTATTAAGCTTAAAACTTCTACCAAAATTTTTTACGAGTAGTACCAGCATGAAAACTATCGGTCTATACCTTTAATTACTAGGGAAATGTATCCGTTGATCTCACACTCACGAAATTCTTAACAACATAGTAGCACGTGGTTAACCGGTAAAATATTACTCACAAGCTATGACAAGTACTGTAAATGTAGCTCTCTTTTCTTTTTACATCCTTGCAGGAGTAAATCATCATTTGTTGCGAATCAAAGAATATTCCTCGTTGTTTGTAATCTAAAAATGATGACTCCAACATATATGTCGACCAAGGCATTATTACATCAGCGAGCTGTAAGATAAAATGACTAGAAATAATGTTGTTTTTTTCAAAACTTCAAAAAAGGAACATCTCCATTATAACAAGATGTTTCAACCAGAAGACTACTGAAAATCTATTCGTGATGAATCATATACTACATGATGTTATTATCGATCAAGAAAGTATTCATTGAGAACAAAAATAAAACTACAAGCATGATAGTAATACAAACACATGAATCACATTAGAACAAGCAGGAGTGCAAAAAGAACGACTTTTGTTAAAAATGATGGATAAATCAAAGTTAATGACAAGTTTTTTAAATTTCCAGCCATACCGTCATTAGTGTTATTCTGCGATTGAATTAGCGGACATACTTGAGGGTTTTCTATATTTTTCCAACTCTTTTCGTCGACCTTGAAAATCTTTAATAATATATTTTTCTGCTTCTTGTCGTAACCATAGTTTACTTGTATGATGCTTCATGATTTTCTTTAAAATGATCACACTTACAATGATTCCAACGAACAGGCCAACAACAGCACATACTAATACAATAACTACCATACCGGTAAACAATCCATTCGTGTTGATACTATTATTTCGAGAAGAAGTCCGACTGCCATTACTACGGCTATTCGTACCACTTGTGCTAGCACAGAAAAGGATAATTAGAGCAATAAAGCCCACAATAGCTAATACTAATATAAAAGCGCTCAAATAATAAATTGTAAATTCATTGAATGACTGTGGAAACAGATGTTTGATGTTTTCATTCTTATCAATAACCTTCAATAAAAATGCTAAACCAAGAATAACTAATTGAACCAATAAAATCAGTGTTGTTGAATCATGAATAACAAATGCATGATACTTCAACAGCCTTTCTCTTTCAGCCTTTGGATCAGTTAAAACAGTTTCGATGATGTATTCGAATTGGCATATATCACAAAACTTGAAACTTTTCCACCTGCATTTTCTGATCGCCAATCATTCAAACACTTTCTATGAACATAAGCCGAACCACCACTACATAAACATGGACTAATTATATCATTAGGATTATCATTATCTAAACATATTCGACATTGTTTTAATTGATTGTTTGTAATTGCCAGGTCATCTTGACTTTCTGATGACATGATTGAACTTTACTGAAATGGTAAAATAAATCTAGAAAGTTTTGAACCATTACAATAAATTCTTTGGAAACATTCTGTTTCAAGAATTAAAAACAGTCAGAAGAAATGCAAACTAACTTGAATCATTTGAGAAATGAGTTAACTTAGCCGTATTACTATACCCTTTGCTCCTCAACTTTTGAATATTCAGTATACAGTTGTTTGTATTCATACATTTTAACATTTAAGTGCACTGTTACAAAATGTGATTTCATGGATTATAATGCATTCGTTAGAATCTGCGAAGTTAGTATGATCAGAGAAAAATAGCTCAAGCGTATTGTCACAATGTACTCACACTTTTAAACCAACTTACAGAAATCAGTTTTATATATCGAAGTAATTATTAAATTGAAGTTGGATAAAAAATAAATGAAAGTTTCTTAGTCAATCACGATGAATCTCTTATTAGAGATGTATGTTGTGAAAAATAAGAAAAATGACGAGGTATATGCATATTTTTTACCTTTTTTCAATCAAAAAGTATTTGCAAAAGAAATTCGTGTCACATGTACAACGTACATCAATTACAGCGAAAAAAAATCAATTGATTGATTCTTCAATGGTTATTCACTCCGATTGCTGAAGTATGACTCATCGATAGTGCAATGAATCATTCATTGGACTTTCGAAAATAGTTTTTGTACGTCACTTTTTGTTTGTGTTTGATTTCAAAAAACTCGTCGTAAATTTCGGTTGCAACAAATTAAATCTATTAGCCACGTGAGGGAAGACGATGTGGGATGTGGTTTGATTCTTCTCTTCACTTATACTCACACCCACACCCTTATACGATTGCACAGATAGCTATAAATCAGTAGCTTTGCATATTTATACTCCCAAGTCTTTAATCTTAAATCTATAAGCTTGCTTCAATATTCTCTTGTCTGTAGTCTTATGACAATACTTATACATTTATTCTTTAATATTCGGGTTGTCAAACGATGAGTATATGGAATGATTAAGCACACAATTTTAACTACAAGGAAAGTTGATCACTGACGAATTAATCACGAAGAAAAAATAGACATATCCATGAAGTGTATTAACCCGGAGGCAAACCGGCATTAAACCTTTTGAGAGGGATTGGGAGTGAGACCGAATACGACTGATTCTGCACATGCCCACTAAGAAATCATAAGTAGACATTAATACTAAATTCGAATAAGGTGGACATAAAATAATTATGGTATGTTCTGATGTAGGATAGTAAAAGCATGTTTATGAATACGAAATTCGACTTTATCATAAAGATTTTCGATGTCTTGAGTTCTAGGCCATGATCTTTGTCTTCTCATTTTATTAACAAGTAGTTTTAGAGAATTAGTAGTTAGAAGCCTCCGTTCTTGTCATATCTGCTATTTTTTTAGAGAGTATTTCACTAGTTGTTTTAGAAAAAAAGAAATTATCATCTATCTTTCTCTTTTATTCGTTCTTTCGAAATATATGATTCACTCCTTTCTCTGCTCTACACTCACCAATTTTGTTTTGCATAAAGTTACGTTTAAAACCATCGGCAAACTCATACATGTGTTATCTTTGCGCAGCGGCAGTACCTTATCCAATGAGCGTTTCGCGAGGAGAGGTTATTGCTAGTTGAAAACTAAAACCCAATATCTCGCACATTTGGCCTTGTGTTGAATGCTGCAATTTTTGCTGCTTCTTCGGAGGCGTTTAATATTTAAAACAAAAGAATAATTTGAAAAAAAATATTTTCTACGACAAAATATTATATAATCAGTTATGTATACCTCTATAAAAGCCACTAGATATGGATGAAGTGAAACATTAAAATTTTCTCATTTATGTCACTATTTTTGATGCATCATTTTAGTTTAAAAGAAAATTTATCAACACTTTTTAAAATATTTTATTAATCAATCTCATTTCAAATAAACTGTATTATGCATAGACTTATAAGAATACCAGAATAAAACAAAAATAGATGATATCAAGACTACACATTAATGTATTTGACAAAATAAAAATCAAGATTGATCTATGAATGTTTAGGAAAACGAAAAATATTATATCATAATAATTTTCTTATACTTATATGTAACTCGCATGTGGTTATTAATAAAGGATGTCCAGAAAAGGTGATAGGATGGAAGAGACTCAACCAAAACTACAGACATTCGGACAATTTTTCGCTTTCTTTTATGCATTTTATGAAAAAGTTTACCAGCACGTCGTTAGGACTTAAATGTTGAACTCACATTGTTCTTTAGCTTCGTTATACTAATACAAAATAAGAAAAGTATAAAATCTCTAAAAGACTATAGTTCTTGTCCAATGATAACCGATTATCAGCAAATGCTCTGTCCTTTTTATTTCTAGATTTCCAACAGAAGTTTTGTTTTCTTTTTTTTAAATTTCATTCTGATAATTCATGATTATTAGTCGAACCATTAATTTAATGAACAGATAAACTTGTTGTACACATTCGTTACATCTACAACAGATCTTAACGATCAATTATGTATCTTGATGAACTCAGAAAGACTGATAGTGATTGTTATCAATAGCTAGAACTTAATCACTTCATACTTTTGTGTTAGCCATATGGTCAAATATGACAGTTGCGGGATATCAAAACAGCATTCTTGATATTTTGAATATAATCGTTTACATACGCAATAATCAGTAATTATGTTATTTAGATTACTGAAAAACGTATTCGAGCCATTTAAATTTCAATCAAGGTTCTGAAATGTTCTAAAACTTTCTAAGTTTTATTATCAATGTCTTTCGGCTTCTTTACTCTGGGTTGCTAAGGTCTGTAATGGGGAAGGGGGAGCCGCAAAAATCTCAGTTTATATTTCCACTCATTATTGTTTTCTTCGAAAACATACGTGAGTTTCACAAAAGACTGAAAACATGAACGCATGTTTTTTTATTTACTTGATATAATTATTAATGAATTAAGAACAACACGTCTTTGATGACTAATAGATAGATATACTCAATATGACCACGATTCCTCTCATGTCTACTTATAGATCATAACTAGGCATTAATATTATATTCAATATCAAATTTATAACTGATTTGTTTTAAAAGACGAAGTATTTAACATCAATTTTTATATACATGCATCAATTGAATTCAGTAGTAAAATTTGTTTTTGTACAAAAACAAATGGTAGAAAAACAAACAATATGGGGGAAAACTCGATTCGGTTCAAATCCAATAGCAATATAATGTTTCGTGATCCTTTGCTAAATCGAATCTTCAAGGCCAAATAAATGAATGAATCTCTAAATCAATAAATATGGACCATTTATCACTAGAAAACTGATGGGAATTTGGGAGCATGAATCCGATGATCTGATTCAGTGACCGGTTCTACCCGTACCATTTCACCGAGTTGGATGTGGCTTTGGGAAGAGTGTGGATGCTAGTCTTATCTCAACTGCGATCCACACTGACACTCACATCCTCAGGATGTCAGCATAAGAACACCTTTAAGCATCAACGTATACCTGGAACAGATAAGCATGATAAAACTACGAACCGCAATCAATACAGGTCATCTTACTTTCGAAGGATAAACAGCGTATTTTAGGAATTCAGAACTCTAAAAGACTTCTAAAGATTTCAGAAAACTTCATGAAACTTCGTGAAATTTCGCATGATTTCAAGACGTTTTGAGACTAAGCCTCTACTATTTAATCTGCACTTAATTTGCATAAAGTAGTTCTTAAATATTCAAACCGAAAGTTACTCGAAAGCATCGTCTCATTAAAAGTCTTGATTGAACTATGAGTTATCCAGCAACAGACTACACGGGCTATTCACCAACGAACGGCTTCTATCCTGTATATATACCAGCACACAGCATAATACAATCTATTCTAGTCGCAACACAAGTATAAGTAACATATATTGAAAATCAATTAAGAGGCATAAAATTTCTTGATACTTCAATGAATAGCTACAGCTACACCTATATGAGCTTTGTACACCTGTACAGGTAAGTGATAGGTACAACTTTAAATATCTTGTAAGCCCTCCTAAAAAAAAAACTTGCTTTTCCCTAGAATCATCGAAATTGAGAGAAATCGAGAAGAAGATAGCCCATGATCTGATCGAATATGTCTTGTAATCCGGAAGATAAAAATCCGGAAAACAAAAAATTCGGAAAACAAAAATCCGGAAAACCAAAAATCCGGAAAATAAAAAACCCGGAAAAGAAAAAATCCGGAAAATGAAAAATTCGGAAAACAAAAATCCGGAAAAGAAAAAGCCGGAAAAGAAAAAAACCGGAAAACAAAAATCTGGAAAAATCNCGTAATTTGTGAATTACTAGGGAATTCACAAATTACGTGGACAGTCTTAGGGGTCCCAAATTGAATTGTTTCCATGGAAATGCCCAGCTCTGATAGAGCCACATTTACATGTTTATCTGATCCATGGAAAGAAACCGGTGGTGAAGCGTTTGTCATAGGCGAAAGTAATGCTATTCATAGTTCTATTTCGGGTTGGCTGGCAAATCTTAAATCAGCGGGCAAATTCAAAATCGGTGATTTTAAATGTTGAAAATGGAGATGATGAAATGATCTATCAGTAATAAAAAAATGAAAACTTTTCATGAAAAGATCTATGTAATAATAGTTCAAACGATATCTTTCGACTTTTCTGTGACCGAATTCATCTGTTTGCTTTAACAGAGATACTCGAGCCTTTGCATTAAAGTTGGTCATGATTTAAGTTTTCGCTAAATGTGATTAAATCACGTTTGCAAGAACGAAGAATTTTTGAAGGAAACAATTGACAAATAATGCACGTGTAAAATTCAAACGTAAAAAATTTCAAAATTGCGCTGCTCACTTATCTAGAAGATCACTAGTTTTCAGTAATATAAACGATTTCCATCATTTTTAGAAACATATAATACATGGACAATCCAAGAATAGTGTAAATCACCTGTTTTTTTACAATCCATGCACTGTATTGAA